CTTCAAATGAACAGAACTTAAACCTAACATCACTTAAGCTTTACAGAACTCAAACTTAACAGAACTCAAAATTAACATCACTTAAAGTTAACAAAACTAAAGTCAAAGTTGAGAGTGTTCCTTTAAAAATTTCAGATACAACAGAATTTAACTCATTTATACTCCATCATTACAACAGTTAAACATCAATGAACAATATGCAAGCAAACAACTGATTCTTAAATGAAATAGCAGCAACAAGAAATTCTAGGGTTTTCCATAAATGAATTTTGAGAACAGCTCATGGTAACTACAAACATTATTGAAAATACCTGGTCATGATCAGTACTTTTCTAGTATAAGCATAAGTTTGCTGGGTTGTTTGTTTTTTTTTTTTTTAAGTGCAGCTTTACTCAGAAAAATTACAACATTGTATATATATCTTGGCAAATTGCACTTAAAACTTGCTCAGTTCGTAGATGCTAAGACAGCTTTTTGAGATTGCCTGTACAATAGATTTGAGCTTGGACTATTAAAACTAATGAGATATAATTATTTAAGGATAAAATATCAAGGACCTAGCGATATAATACTGCCATGAGTTTTGCACATGTAACTCGGTTAGGTCAGCGGGTAAGACTGATGTGTATATAAACAGCTACAAAGTCACGGTTTCAGATGATTCTAAAGGAGTGAGCTACTGTTCACTGCACTTGTGGTCCATCAGTGTATTTAAACTGTTTTGATATAGTCTGGAGAGCAGATGTGGGAAGAGATAAAATAAATATTCTTGACTGAGAGACACTGTTTTGCAAACTATAAAAGACACATGCATTAGTACGGAGGCAGAAGCCTCCGATACATGCACCCTGACAAGTGTTCAGGACTTCTCCCCAGGGTTTGGACGCAGATTCCGTAGTTACTTTCCTGGGGACTGAGGGAAAGGATCTTGATGTGTGCCCCACCAACAGTTAGATGGTAAGATACATTGAATCCTAAGTTATATTATTTCTTTGCTAGCTGTAACATTAATAGGTACCTTTAACCTCACGCTGTATATGCCTACTAGTAGTCTCTTTTTGTCCTTATTCCTGTGTAGTATTAGTTTAAGTTTTATGCCTGTTAGTTTTGTGTTGATTAAATAAATAATTCATTCTATAATAGACTGAATCAGCTGTTATTAAAGAACTTGTGAATGAGAGTGGGTTTTGGGATGCTGGCCATCTCAGTAAAGCTACTGCCTGCTGCTGGAGGCCTGGGCAAAAGGAGAGGACTTATCTAACCCCCCACATCCATTCATAACAGATATCAAGCCAAATTTCAAGTGGTAAGGAAGAATAACTACACTGAAATCACTAAGTAACTGTACCTATTTGAAATGCTGTCACCTGTTTCCCCATGGTGAAAGATTCACAATAAAATTACCGTATTAAAGCTGTGGGGTAAAAAAGTAAGCAAACAGGCAAAGCCAGCACAGTTCTGCCTCCTTTAAAGTGGTGAGTCATGAGCCAATGATATATAAACCTCAAATAGTGTCTGCAGGTAATGGTAATGGGGAAGTCAGGGTTTGCTTTAAAGTGAGCAAAGAAATGCCTTGATTGATGGGTGGCTAAATCTACCATGGGCCTCACCCAGCTAATTGCTCACAGCAACTTTTGTAAATCATGCAATGTGTTGACACCCGGCTGTAAAGTTAATTGCTGTGGTTCAGTCCAATCAGACTTCCAAATCAAAATTCTTGAAAAGACAGTATACATCCCACATGGCAACTTTTATCAGTCATGCAATATATCAGCATTTCTATTGAAGAATTTGGACCTTGCTGTTATAAATACATATTATGTTGTTGGCTTTTTGAAAATATTAGGATGAATGCTATATGTATAATGTTAAAATAACTTTGCTTTTATTTCTGCTATTAACAAAAGCTTAGTCATAGTAGTAGTGGTAGCTGATAGTTATGAGTGAACTGTCTGTTTGGTCAGGACAACATCCAGTGAATGTGTAATGTGGACCCTGCTATTGATATGCCAACTATCAGCATCTGCCGCCTGAAGAAAGTGTGGACCAATGTAGCAACCACAGGGCCTGCAAGGCCTCCCTGATGGTCTGTTGCCTAAGATAAGAAATGCCTAGTCATGATGACTGGACCAAAAGACCCCTCTTCCACCTCAGACCCTCGTTATCTCTCTAAGACCATTGGTCATATCCACCTCGACCCTTACTATTGAACTGTTTCCCAAAACCCACATACCCTATATAAACCCCTGCCTCTGCCCAGTTCAGCAGAAGACCTGTCCCTGACACCCTTCACAGAGGCTGACAATAAAGACACATCTGTGGAACCTCACACAGCTCTTCTCTCTCATCCCTGGGTCTGCCAAGACACTTAGCAAGCAAAGACCTGAACTCGCTAAAGAGCTGAATTCACGAAAGAGCTGATCTCACTTAAAGAGCTAAGCTGCTTGATAAGGTTGCCTGTGGCTGGGAGCCTGCCTGGGACATCTGGACAGGTTGTGCTTAGCGGGACTTCACTATCTGGGACACCTATGGAAGCCAGGGTCAGACAGACCCTGAGAACACAGACCGTAATACAGCATAGCAGAAAAAAGACTCCTGTCCTTGAGTGAAAAGAAAAAGATTTTGAGGGACAAACTGACTAAAACCCCCACGCCCTGTCTCCCTGCACTATTGGTGGGAAAGAGGGAGGGGCTGGGGGGAAAAAAAGGTGTTTTAAAGGCTTATTTTATTTCTCATTATCCTCCTCTGACCCTGTTAATAATAAATTTACTTTATACCTTTAAACTTGAACCTGTTTTGCCCTTACAGTGTTTTTGCTTCCAGTCCTTATCTCAACACATGAGCCCTTCGTTAATTTTTTTTCCCTCTCCTCTACCCAACTGTAGCAGGAGAGAGTAAGCGAATTACTTTTGTGAGTGCCTAGCATTTGGCCAGTGTCAAACCATGACACACATATATAAACAATTTATTTCATAAATAGTTTCAGAACCTATTTCACATATCTAAATATCACAACTTACACTTGTATTTTTGTTGATGTTATTTTCACCAAGACATAAAGGTAAAAGAAATTCTTCCTCATTGATCCCTAGCCTTTGCATTCTGCAACAGCAATTCACTGAAATTCTTACTTAGGAAAATTATTTGCATTCCAAAATTTTTATTTAAACTTGTAATCACATAATAGAGAACAAAGTCATCTTTGCAAGTGTCCTGAAATTCTGTTTCTTCAGTTGTAAAGATGTGAGATGCAATGATTGCTGCTCAAGTATGAGTCAATCTTGAAAAGCAATATGTAGGTCTCTTTCTGTTTTTTCGATCATCACTTAGGCAAACAAAACAAAGAAACAGTCTGCTTTTGCAGAACTATTGCAATAATGCAAAATACTTCAGAATTTCACTTAAGAGCCTACAAATTCTGAATGTTTTCTCTTAATAAAGACAGATGGTTATTTATTTTCCCCCATGCTTTTAAGTTTCTGTTGTACACAAACAAAAAAATCTTTAGTAATAATGTCAAATAACTGTATTCACTGTACTGAACATTAAATGTTTTGAACTTTCTGACTGTAATAAGGATAATCAGGAAATGTTAATATATGGACAATGAGCACAGTGCAAGTATAATTAATAAACTACTTATGGGGATAATGAATCTATACAATATTGTCTTGTTTGAAAGATGGGTGCCTGCCAAGGAAGGCAGGAACCTCCCTTGGAATGAAAAATATGACCCCCTTCCCTCCAACTTATTATAACTTTGAAATTACAGGGCTGTCAGGCAAAGATATGGGAAAAGGAATAACAGTTCTTTACTAGTGTATGTATATATATATATATAACAAGGCAAACAAACAACAACAGTATCAACAACAAACAGAAAAAAAACCCAGAGACCCAATAACAGCCTTCTCCTGGCCGTCAAGCACTTTCTCCTTTGGTGCAGTTATAGTCACAACCAGCAGGGGTGGTGTTGGCTCCTGGTGAGGCTGGGCAGGTGCACTGATTCTCTCTAGGCTGCAGGGGGCGCTGTGGCACGAGCTCAGTCACCTCTCTCCACATGGCCTATGGCAGGTGAGCTGGCAGAAGAGAGAAAAGGGGCTTCCTGTACAAACTCACAGGGGCAGTCAGTCCCGGTGTCCCTCCAGATGGCGAAATGGACTGTAGCAGGAACCTCAGAAGCTGCAAACTGAAATGGCAGAAGCGGGCACACCCAGGATGACAAAGTGTAGCACAGTCTCCAGGGCCGTGCCAGAAGCTGCAGGGTGGCCAGGTGTAGGATTAAAATGTAGCAAGAAGCCCTGAAACAGCAGCAGAAGAGCAGGGCTAGGCAGGGAATCGCTCCCCTGAATAGTTCACTGGCGATGGCTGATCCTGGGGTCGGGCCGCACAGAGGGGTGCCCCCAGCGGGCTCCCAGTGCAGCACGCACTATCTCTGGGCTCCCGAGCAAGAAGAGGAACAGAGAAGCAAGCCAGTAAGCCCAGTCACAGTGCCAAAGGAGAAGAAAAAATACCAGGCAAAAACCACAAAGCAACAGTATCTCTAGTAAGAGGCACTGTGCAGTGTGGCCGCTGAGATGAATTGCCCCACCAGAAGGAAGCAACCCCTTGCCCCCAACCCTCATAGGATCCTGTGAGTATCTCACCCCTTGCGATACTCCCGAAGCTTGGAGGGGGGGAGTGACCATTTCCGGACAAAACAAAACCCAAAAAAGATTGGTATGGGATAAAAACCGTTCCCAAGACAAATATTTGTCATAAGAGATATTTTGGGAGAACAAGCCCAAATATATTTCAGAAAAGCTAAATGTCAAGGAACGAAGAAGATACTATAGTACAAAGCTATGGTGAAAAGTACTGTATTTTTAACCAACACGATTGTTGAGGAGCAGCACTGATGCATTAGTTTTTTAAACAGAAAAACAGAAAACCACACCCTATTTTTGTTCCCCAAACAATACACAATACATGCATTTAAATGACACTTCAGAATAACAAATATGATCTTTATTTTGTTAAACACTGCAAATTTTAAAAATGTATCTGACTCCCCTTCCAATATACTGGCAAAAAAAAGGATTTTCTGCAGCATGATAAATAAGAAATCCAGCAAGACTTCATCTTAGACCATCTTTTGATAGAAAAACCCCCAACATCACAAAAACATCAGTCTTATTACCAAGAGTAAGATTGATTTGGTTGAATTCCCTTGCATTTTTGACACTACCTTTAACATCAGCTTTGCCCAAATGATTCTTCAATTCTTTTTTTCCTGAAACATAGCTACTGTAAAAAAGCTTGCGTGAAAGTTACAGTAAAAACCCTGTAACTAGATAAACAATGACCCTCAATGGATTACTGATTACATGGAAATGTTTGTTTTGACTGATAAATAAAATGGTAAATAAAAGCAAAAACAACAACAAAAAAGAGGAACTATCAGTCATTCTTTTCAAACCAAAACACATTGTTTTTCATGATCTCTACTAAACTAGCAAATTGGACAGGGACATAGAATCTTAGTTGTTTATGTCCAAAGAGGGACTTTATCTGCAAAAGTGTGAAGGCCTCAAATAACTATTAATTGTCTACAACAGGCCATTTTAATTTCTTTACTTGTGACATTCTCCAAAACATTTAATTTATTGATTTCTTAACTAGAGGTAGGTAATTTGTAGGCCTTGTTAATATACTGTGTACACTTCATTATTTTGCTAATGTAATGCAGGATAATCATGCACAGACCTTCAATACTAGCAGCACATATAATAAAGTATTTGGGCATTATTTTTCTTTTCCATATGGGTTAACATGTCTCTGCTTTCTTGTTATCTCAATATTTTGTGAAGAATGCATAACAAGGGAAGGACCATTAAGTTGAGCAATCTGAAAGTCTTGCATCTTATAACCAAAAACTCAGAGTCTAGCAATATCTTCATATGCAGCCCTTTTATCACCTTTTAAAGTTTTTGGAAATCATGCAGGCAGTTCTGACTGATAACCAGCATAAAGCCTTTTCTCCACTTTCAAACTTTAGAAAATGCTTCACAATCATGTGGTGGTGTGATTTAAAATTACAGGTTACCTTGAAAATCAAAAGTCTGAATTATAAAAGTAAACTGCCCTTATAGCTTCACCATCCTATATATGTAAACAAAGTGACAGCTAACTAGTGAAAAAAGCAAGTTTAAGGTTTTTGTAAAACGTATTTACAGCTTTCTTGTACACCTAGAATAGTTTCCCAATGTTTTCCTTTTCTCCTCTCCCATTTATGACATTCAATGAAACAAAGTAATTTTGCAAAATTAAAAGGGTTCCTGTCTGATTTTTGTCTTCAGCTTCATGTTAGAGGCACATACTTCTAGACTCAAGCACTATAATGCATAGTGGAAATCACCAATTAAAACAGCAACAGCAATGGAATATATTGCAAATGAGAACACCTGTCATTTAAAAATTAAATGTTTTTGTAAACACTGTCACACTGCAATGCTGTGTTAGGTGAGTTATGTAAGGCTTGCATTAACATGCTGATTATATTTTTTCAGAATATGTTTAAATGATCTAAACATTGTCACAGGTTCAACTCAAAATATACCAGAAGTAGCCCAGTGGTACACACATTAGAATTTCGCAATCACAATATGTATATAAAGTGTGAGTAAATTTTTGGTTTGTTTTTATACAAATCTTTTTTATATTAAAACTTAAAACCCCATACACTCCCCCCCATATCCCATAATAAAACAAACCCAAACCTTCATTAGACAACACTGGCATGTTTTTGCTTTTTTTTCCCCTACAGTTCTATTTATATCACTAAATCCATGGTGGTCAATGTATTCACAGGCTGAAAGAAAGGATATTATCACACACTCCAGAGTCAACAGTTAAAACATAAGATCTGTTATGTTTATAAGTAAGATCAGGGCCAATGTTATAATTACATTTATAATAAGAACAGCTGTTCTGATGATACATTTAGAATGTCAGTGTCACCTTTTATAGCCTTCATGTGCTTTAGCTTTATTAAACAAATTTTAACTCCTTAAAATTTTTAACATTAGCAACTTTGTTGTTGTTAAGTCTAAGGTTTCTGTAATTTCTGAATTAATGTTTAACTGATCTGATGGTTTTATTACATTTTTAGGGAAATAGAATATACCCATTAGTACTTATGTTCAGTGGTTTGAAATGTCTCTAATTACACTTTTCTAAAAAAGGCTATTAGAAAGGTAAAATTAACTGAAGTTGAATCTGCCAAATACAAATTGATATTTAAGAGCTTATATTCTAATCCTAGATATAATGGCATAAATTCTTCTAACAAAAACAGCTTCTACATCTGTATAAAGCCTTGACAAGATTTAAGCATTGTTTTGATTATGACTGTCCTCTGTGTGTCTCCAATTTACTTTTACTCAGGAATGTTCAAATGATTTTATATAGCACAATGCTACTACAATTCTGTACTATGATAAGCTTTTTTGTTGCTTTTTAAATAAAACCAACAAATACCTAGTCAGGAGTAAACTGAAAAAAATGTACATTCTTCTCTTTAAAAAGTAAATAAAATAACATTATTTAAAATGTGAATCAGATATAAGACATATTACACAATTACATAGATACATATCAACACAGCACAATCAATTTGCTAAAAATTAATGACTATAAAGCCAATATGGATGTTGGCATATATGTATGTACAATGATTATAGCATTCATAATTGCACTATACCTACAATCAGTTTCCAATTATAAGGTGTTTTATGAGGGAACAAAAACTAGCAACTATTCTTATTAATGTTGTTTTAGAGTAGGGAGTATTAAGGATGAAAAACATCTCATTAGTATTTATTGTTAACTTAGTTGCTCAAGTAATAAGAGATTGCCTTTCCACCTCTCCTTTGCTGTTGAGAGGCAGCAACTTCTGTGCTAAGTGCACCATATTGCTACTTGGCAATGTAAGTAATTCAATGTCTGACCTCAGAGTTCTCTGTAGCTTGCTAGCAATCATGCACCTGGTCAAAAAATACCTTTCAACCCAAGCTGCTCATTGATGGGTGCTACATTTTTGTTATTAAAAATTTGCATGTTTAAATTTCAAGAGTGATTTGCATTAAGAAATCTTTCTAAAGAACATAAAGAGAGACTATTTTGCATGAAACCTATAAAATGTCTGTGAATAGGTTAAGAGGCAACCTTATCAAGAATAGTTTCTGAATGTGATCATTCATCAGTAATAAACGAGGTGCTTGATATTATTAGAAAAAACATTGTATGCAATCTCATGCCATCTCTGACATAAGGAGAGAATTAAATTGTCTTCTATACATGTATGCTGAGTAGCATATTCACTCACACTGTTGTTTTTGGCATTAGAAAATGGAACACAATAAAAACAGGAACATATGAGTTAAAACTATATTTATCATTTGGCAGTTGACTCAATCAGGTAAATTCCCAATCCATTAGTTTGGCATTTCAATCACTATCTTATGTTTCAAAAGTATTGGTTTCATAAAAAAGCCATATTTGGCAAGATTTTATACAGCAAAAAAATTTCTACTGTGGAAAAACACTTTAAAAAAGCTCTAACTTAAGAAAAAATGCACACAACTGAAAAATAAACCTCTACCCCTGTTTTCGACTGTAGCCACTGGGGAAAAATGTAGTGTCCATGACATTTCTACTTGTCATTAGTGAATAAAGAAAAGAGAAAATAATGACACATGGCAATTAAAAAGAGATTTGATGATATTCTATGAACATCTGAGGTTTATGTCTTTAATTATTTTATTACTGTCTTCTATGCATCTTTCTGAACTGTGAAAGTACGTTTGAATTCTAAATCCATACACAACTATTTCTATTTTGCAATTCCCAATATTCTAGTCTCAGAAGCGAAGACAGAATGAGAACACTAATTTTAAGAATTAAAGAAATCATACTATCAATGCTTCTGATCTTTCAGAGAAAGCACATTCTGTAAAATTTGAATGACTGATAACTTCATTTCTGATGATAGTAATTTTCTTGGCCAAGTCACTTAACAGAAAATATATTATCAAGGAATGCAAGTGGTAAAATGGCCATTGTACTTTTAAAACATAGCGGGGGAGGAAGGAGGGAGAGAAAGGGTCAGGAAAAGAGGAAACTAGCTTGATTTTGCTTCATTAGCAAAAACCTGTTATCCTTTGTGAGTGTATGACTGAGAATTTAGAAACCACTGAGTCACAAGATTTTGCCTAAAAAATAAGAAAATGTACTGTGAATGTATTTCAGCATCTTCTGGTTTTCCTCCATATAGTTTAAATAAAATCATAATATCAACTAAAAAACTCTGAACATTCGCAGAGTGCAGGCCAGCAATAAATTAGTATTATGCAACTTGTTTTCACAGATAATCCAGTCCCTATTGTGCATCTTCAATCACACAAAGGTGGTCTTGGAGGGCCTCTTAGGCACAGTTAGACCAGGTTGTATTCCTTCAGGTTTAACTGTAGAATTGTGTCCTTGACAGCAGCAAAGACAAAGCGTATATTCTCTGTGTCTGTAGCACAAGTGAAGTGGGAGTAGATAATTTTGTCACTATCTGGATTCAGGTCTACAAACATCTTCAAGATGAACTCTCGTGCTGCTTGTGCATCCCGTTGTGGTCCTGATAATTAAGAAGAAAAAGTCAGTTTCTCTTAAAGTCAATTCAGTATTTGAGCTTACTTAGGAGGGGAACCTCAGGAGCAGAAAACAGAAGAAAGACTCAGTCTGTTATCCTTGTATAAGAGAGGAAGGGAAAAAATTTACTAACAAATACTACCATATACTATTTTTTCCCAGTGGGGACCATTAAAAAACAAAAATTGAAGGAAATTCCAGAAGCTGATAATAGAAGAGCTGTTCTTTTTGTGCTTTTTTCTTCAATAAGGTGTTAAAAATGGACAGATGAACTTGATGACCCCACAAAATGAACAACAGAATAATTATATGCTTTATACTCATAAATATATAAAAAAATTAACAGATCTGGCCCATTTTCAGTCTACTGTATTTAAACAGTACATTCTTTTAAAATGTAGCATAATCAAGTTACATCTTAAACTAGTTTGACATTGTCCCCAACAGAATTTAATTTACTTTTGTGTAGTGGGTTTGGTTTGATTTCCTCACACGGGGCACTAATTCCAATTTCAAACCACCACATTTAGTGATAGCAAGATCTACATGCTTGCTAGTTGAAGCTGTTCAATTGCAAAACTTAATGTTCTAACAAATTAAATGTCTAAATTATATATAACAATTCTATTAAATTTAAACAAATCTGTAATTCTCAGAACATGAAGACTATGTAACCAAACTGCATATTCTGCTTTGCATAAGTCAGAAGGCAAAATAATGACTTCCACTCTATAGGAGTGAGAATTGGTTCATGTTCACAGCCAAAAGAGCAGCACAGAAGTAGGAACATAGCCACAAGCTATTTTTTCCTATACTGTATATGCATATACTGTTCCAGTGCAATTTTCATAGGCCATTATTCCATTGTCCTCCTGTTTCTGCAATGTGGGTTTCTACAGAACATGTATGTTTGCTGTGCCTCTTCCTCCTATCTCCTCATTAGTTCTGGTCTTGTTATATGACAATATAAATACCAGCGCTCAGCTGTTATATAGTTCTGTCCTTCAATGGTTATGAAATCTGTACTTAGGAAGTTAGTATGTGCCTACATAACTTTCAATGACTGCACAATAAAACTTATTTTTAATATTTAAATGCAAATTTAAGCATTTCTAATTTGGATAAATGCACAAATTATGTAACAATGGCATCACAAAAGATAAAATACTTTCTGATATCCATTGGTTGCAAAGCCTTGTGGAAGGAGAACATGATTCTACAATATCTTGTATGCACATGAATATGTATGTGTATATATAGACATATACACAGACTTACACATTTTCTGAGATGTAGAGAAGGACATGTAAACATAATAATTTCTCTGAACCAGGGCAAAGAGGACTTCTAAATTTTTAAAATGTCTAAACACAACAGGTTCTAGCCTTTAGCTTCATCACATATTCTATAGAAACAGCAGCAAAATTAATGTCCCTATTATTTTTTTTTTTTACTCTTAAGAGGTTTAAATATTTGTAAAGGAGACTCCAACACTTTCAAAGACAATGGTTTCTTAAGAATAAGACATTTATTGGTTCAATCAACTTCCTAGGATTTTGTTAAACAGTTTTACAGTGGGTAGGCACAGACAGGTTTTTTCCTCTTTTAAAATCTACTGCACTATTTAAAGCCCATATCCAAATTTTGCTTGCCTAATAACAAGCCTGGTTATCATAATGTAATTCAGTTTTTTCAGACTGGAATTCAAGCACAGAAAACTGAGATTAAAAAGAAAGTTTACTATCTCAGGTATTTAGAAAAAGGGAATGAACCAATGCTAGATTTACAGCGCTAAATGGTTACAATCTAACTAATCTTGGAAAATAATTATAATACAAATCAGTAGGTTTCTTGTCCATAGCTCCCTTTTTAGCAGTCTTAAAAGGGTTTCTCTATATGATAGTCAAGTTTTGTATAAAAAGCACTACAATTTAGCTTGGCTACATTAACTTGTAATTGTCAGCATTTATTTTCTTTGAAGACTCTGGAGGGGAGTGCACTCCCACAGATAGATATTTTTTAATTCTTTCCTTCCCAAACATGGTCACTTTTTGTTTTTTTCCTTACTCCCAGCCCTTCATTCCAGTCTTTGAGTTGGTCTTTTAGTATGATCTGTGAAAGCATATCCTCATGTGATACTCTGACCCTTGAGCACATCTCAGTCTCTCATCCAATATTGTTATGACATACTGTGCAGTACAACTGCTTAGTTTAATCAGTCCAGTTTGCCATCCTGGTTACCATTTCTGATCCCTATGCTGCTTTCTCCATTGTACTACCCACATGGGAAAAGTGATCCAGCTGAAAAATACCTAATTCTGATGAGTTCTCCAAATGCGTCCATCTTCAACATCTCCAAACAGGGTGTTGGAACAGCAGAGAGGGACACACAGTGACCTGTGCAAGGCAAAGACTTTGCAACTGTCTGGGTTTTGGCTGGGATAGAATTAATTTTCTTCTTAGTAGCTGGTTGTGTTATGTCTGACTAAGATAGAGTTCATTTTTCCTTAGCAGACCTCACAGTGTTTTGCTTTGCCTTGGTAGCTGGAAGGGTGTTGATACCACACCAGTGTTTTGGCTACTGCTGAGCAGCACTGTCCCTCTAACATTCCTTACCCTCATCAAGGGGCTGTGAGTGGGCAAGATCATGGGAGGGGACACAACCAAGCCAGCTGACCCAAAGTAACCAAAGAGACATTTCATACCATATGATGTCAGCTCAGATATAAAAACTAAGGGAGAGAGGAGAAACAGGGGGCATTCATTATTCTACAATGTTTGCCTTCTGGAGCAACTGCTACACATGCTGAAGCCCTGCTTCCTGGCAAGTGTCTGAACATCGCTCACTGATGGGAAGTAGAGATTAACTTTTCCCTTTGCTTATGTGCACTCAAACTTTCACTTTTCTTTTTTTTTTTTGCTTTAGTAAACTGCTTTATCTCAACTGACTAGTTGCTTTCCATCTTATTTTCTGTGACTTGTCCCACTGGGGAGTAATAGAGTGGCTTGGGGGGCACCTGGCATCCAGCCAAGGTAAAACCACTACACTGGTACAGTGCTGTGTTTTAGATTCAGTATGAGAATAATGCTGATAATACACTGATGTTTTGGTTGCTGTTGAGCAGTGCTTACCCTGAGTCAAGGCCTTTTTAGTGTCTCATGCTCTGCCAGTAAGGAAGTGCACAAGAAGCTGGGAGGGACCACAGATGGGACAACTGACCCGAAATAGCCAAAGGGATATTCCACACCATAAAACATCATGCCCAGTATATAAACTGGGGGAAGTTAGCCAGAAGGGGCCAATCATTGCCTGGGGATGGGATGGGTGTTAGTGGGTGGTGAGCAATTATATTGTGCACTAATTGATTTTATTGTACATCAATTGTTTTTATTCTGTCCTTTTCATTACTATTATTATTGTTATTATTGTCATTAGTATTATTACTATATTTTACTTTACTTCAATTATTAAACTGTTTTTATTTCAAACCATGGATTCTGCCTTTTTTCTGATTCTTCTCCCCAGGCAGGGAGGAGTGAGTAAGCAGCTGTGTGATACTAAGTTGCCAGATGGGAGTAAACCACAAGCCATCCACCCCATCTTTCCACCAAAAGAAATCAAATTAAACCATAAGGGGTTAAGTCCAGCAAGATCTGCAGAATTAGACACTTAAATGACTTTCAGGTCTGGCCTACTCGCTATGGCCCTAATTGTCCATAACCTTTTTTTGTTTCCCTTACCCATGGTAAAGGAGAAGAGGAAGAGGGTTTCTCTGAGCTGACTGATTGAAAATCTGACAACCCTCTATGTTGAAATGACTGGCCTAGTAGATGAGGGGAGAGCAGTGGATATTGTCTAGTTGGATGACAGTAACTAGTGGGGTACCCCAGTAGCCAATACTGGATCCAGTCCTACTTAACATCTTTAATGATCTGGATAAGGGAGGAGAGTGTACCCTCAGCAAATTTGTTGGTGACACAAAACTGGGAGGAGTGGCTCCATTCAGAGGGACCTTAACAGGCTGGACAAATGGGCTGACAGGAACCTCATGAAAATCAACAAGGGCAAGTGCCAAGTCCTGCACCCGAAGAGTAACAAACCTAGGCACTAATATATACTGGGGGCCACCCAACTAGAAAGCAGCTTGGCAGAAAAGGCACCTGAGGGTCCTGGTGGATACTAGGTTGAACATGAGCCACCAATATGCCCTTGACAAAAAGAAGGCAAATGGTATCCTGGGCTGCATTAGGAGGAATGTTGCCAGCAGGTCGAGGGATGTGATCCTTCCCCTCTAATCAGCACTGATGAGACCACACCTGGAGTTCTGTGTCCAGTTCTTGGCTCCTCAGTATAAGAAGACAAGGGCATACTGGAGAAAGTCCAGCCAAAGGCCACAAAGATGATTAAAGAACTGGATGAAAGGCTGAGAAACCTGGGACTGTTTAACCTAGAGAAAAGAAGGCTCAGATAGAGATCTTATCAATGCGTACAAATACCTGAAGGGAGGGTGCAAAGAAGATGAAGCCAGGCTCTTGTGGATGGTGCCCAGTTACAGAACAAGAAGAAACACAGGAGTTTCCATTTGAATATCAGAAACCCCTTTTTTACTCTGAGGGTGACTGAGCATTGGGACAGGTTGCCCAAAAAGGTTGTAGAGTCTCCCTCCTTGGAGATATTCAAAAGCCATCTGGACATATACCTGTGAAGCAGTCACTAGATGACCTTGTTTGAGCAGGAAGGTTGGACTCGATGATCTTTAGAGCTCCCTTCCAATGTCAACTCTTATGTGTGAATTTTGTCTGGTTTCTCTGGACAAGCATTTAACACAAGTTTACCTCTACTTGAGTGATCATAACAAAAGGGCCTATATAGCCTTCTCACCTGCAGGATGTCATGTAAGGCACCTGTCACACTTCTAACATGAAAATACAAGAACTGTCAGTTATCTTCTGTTTAGTACTATTAAACTAAACTTACACTGATTCATAAATAAGTATGGCCTGATCCTGCAAGCTGTTCATTGCGAACACATCCTTTCCTCTCAAAGAGGAAAAACATGAAACTTTTTCCTTCTATCACTAACTCGTTTTGAAAATGAGAGATTTAATCTTTTTTGTAGCTTTTGAATCTGCTTTTCACTCTCTGGTGTGACAAAAGAGATGTTATTATATGAATATGATTTTTTTTCTCTGTTACCAAAGCCTCCACTCAGTTACCTTTGAATACCTAGGTTTTCACCTCAGGAGAATTTTCTCAAAGTACAGCTTCTTTGGAAACAGCTGTTTGTTCCACATAATGTTTTCAGGGACAAGCACATTAAATTTCATATAAGTAGCATAAAATAATGGAAACAAAGAAGAAATGGTACAATAAAAGGATGGGAGAAGTGATATTGGTTTATCTGAGAGCCACAGAGAATTTATGACTTGCCTTCAAATTTCCAGCCTTAAACAAAAAAACAACAAAACACAAACCCAATTAAAAAAGAAGAGTATGTGAGATGCTGAGTAGAATGAAAAATGTATTTTTATATAATTTTAGCTTTATACTTCAGTTCAAATCCTCACCCCAACTTATGAACAAGGACAGAATAAGGTCCATTGCTAATATGATGTTACTCATCTAGAATCAATAATTTCACATGAAAGGTACTGACATCTTGTCCACTATTAATGGAGGTATAAGATGAATTCCTAGCAATCTAGAAAGTTCCACAAGACTTCAGTGACTTTAAAAATTTGAAGCATTAAAAACTGCTCTTGTTAATAATTTTTTCCTTTTAATATAATTAAAAAAAAAAAAAACATGACCAGTAAGTCATTCAACTACAAACTAACCATTTGATGTACTTAGTACAATTTATAAAGAAGAAAATGGATTTAATGAAGAATGGGTGATTATCTTTGTCCTAAGAACCTCCAAGCAAAATATGGGCAACGTTATTACATTTGGTCATTACTGCAATTTAAATGGGGCATGAGCTCTGGTGGCAATATACTTACCATCATACTCTGGGAAATAATCAACTAAATGGGAGTACATAATTTTCTCCTCTAAAAGATCTTTTTTATTTAAGAACAGAATGACCGAAGAATTCTGGAACCATAGTCAATAGTACAGATTTTATTTAACAGTAAATGTGAGGTAGAGAGATAGAAAGAAATAGAAAGAGAGCAGGGGGGGAGAGAGAGTGAGAAAGAAATTAAGCAAAAGATACCACCACCATGTGGATTCCTGCAGCGTTCTTCACCCTGGTCTTCGGTGGTGGGGGTCCCAGAGTCATTCTACTGGAGGTACCACCTTTATACAGTCCAAGTTCCAAGTATCCAAGGGGTGGTCGCAGATGTTCCCACAACTTGGACTGGCATGGGTGTAAGTAGTGGTTTCCTTTCCCACAGTCTGCACAGTGGAATTTTGTCTGGTGTGCTAATTCCAAACCTTCACCTCTGTTTAAGCCTGGAATTAGCGCTTTCCTTTTTGCCATCTGTGATTATCTCAAGTTCCTGTTGTGGTGGCTTATCTTATGGGAATACTGTTTTGAGACATGTAATTGCACTCTTTAAGTCCTCACACAGGCTTCTAGAGAACAAAATCAAAGTGAATCTTGCAGATTCTGATGTTGCTGAGACATAGAATCATAGAATTGCTTAAGTTGGAAAAGGCCTAAAAGATTATCGAGTCCAACCATTAACCTAACACTACCAAGTCTACCACTAAACCATGTCCCTAAGTGCCACATCTACACATCTTTCAAATACCCTCAAGGGATGGTGACTCAAGCACTTCCCTGGGCAACCTCTTCAAATGCTTTATAACCCTTTCAGTGAAGAATTATTTCCTAATATCCAATCTGAACCTCCCCTGGTGCAACTTGTGGTCATTTCTGCTTGTTCTGTCAATTGTTACATCGGACAAGAGACTGACACTGTTACAACCTCCTTTCAAACACTTGTAGAGAGCAATAAGGTCTCCCCCGAGTCTTCTATTCTCCACACCAAAAACACTCATTATGCTCAGCTACGCCTCATAGGACTTATGTTCCAGATGCTTCATCAGCTTCCTTACTCTTCTTTGGATGTGCTCCAGCACCTCAATGTCTTTCTTGTAGTGAGGAAAAACCCTGCACTAATTGCATTTTAGTTGTATTTACTCTGTATTGAGATAAAGCAGTCAGTAGCCATGTTGCTTGAATTCATAAAGTCTCTATGGGTAGAAGCCTTCATGTGTTTCTGGTCCCTAGGTTTTTTTGAGGTTTTGATACCTTTCTGGTCCCTAGGCTTATTTTCTTATCCAGAGATAGCTCCAGTACTGTCCCTAACACACAGTTTTTACAGTGGAGGGGCATGGATTAGAATAGCTATTTTGCTGGGCATGGTGATAATGATTTATAGGAAATTTACAAAAGTACTAGAGTTTGTTCCAGATATATATAGTTTATGGTTTCTTCATCCTACCCTGCATCCCAGTTCCAGTAGCAGGTTTTAGAGATTTATTAGTAATTGCACCCAGTTTGTTAGAGGAGGAGCAGAAAATGAGGCTTTTCAACCTTTCCTTTCCTTCTTCTCCTTTGAATCTGTTACGTCACTTTTGGAAAATGTTCAGTTTCCCCTGAATGTTAAAGAGACCACCTTCCTGGTATTTAATCTAGTAGACTTCCTCTATATAGTTTGCAGCTTGTCTAGAGTGAGGGCTGAGATTTCCAAATGGGCTGATGAGACTCCTGACCCAGGAGTAGACCCAAGCATAAAAAATACTGAGTAGTGTAGAGAATGAGAGAGAATGGGCGGAACCCTGAAGGAATTTTCTGATCCCCGAAGGAATTTTCTGATCCCCAGCCTGGGAATTTTCATGTGAACAAATTCAGAACCCAGATGAGGTGGGGAAATATCTGGAAGAGAAGTATCATGATGACTCTAAGGAGAAAAAGACCATTGCAATAAGCTGGGCCCTGGCATATACTTATTGCACGCTGCTAGATACTGTAGGGCAGCAGATGGAGGCAGGGGGGGCAGGAAGATATATCAGCAGCTATCCCAGTCACTCAGGCTGCAGCCAACACCCCAGTCACTTAGGTTGTAGCTAAACCAGACAGTGAGCCTAAGCCACTGGCAGTTGCTGCAGGAAAAAAGCACACAACCAAAACCAATCGGCCAGTAGACGATGATGATCCAGGGGAAAGACTGTCAAAGCCACTTCCTGATACAAAATCAAAAGTCAAAGCAACTGACACAAAATCAGAAGTCACTATTAGGTCCTTTTCCTTGAAGGACCTTTGTGGCCTAAGAAAAGATTACACTCAATGACCTGATGAATCTATAATTAGTTAGTTAGAAGATAAGATGAAAGAGAATCACAAGAAACTCAGAGAAGAGATTAAAGAGGGCTTTCTCAAAATCTCGGCAGTACAGATCAGAAGTTCTAGTACCAAAAGTAGACATCCCCCAGATAGAGAGAGAAGGTACACCCCACGAGCTGAGTTGTGGTTCTTCCTGTGTGATCATAGAAAAAATATGAGGAGATGGGATAGAAAATCTACTACTGCTCTGGCACAATGGGCGTTTGAATTAAAAGACAGCAAGACTCACAGAGGAAGTTCCACCAAAAAAGAAGTAGCTCCAGTAGCCTGTAGCCGGACTGCCAGATATGATGATGACATGTCCAATCCTCTTGAAGGAGCCTCCAAGACATATGCCCAGAGAAAGAAGGATAACCAGGTTTTGAGGGGTCCTGCCTCTAGCCAGGTAGAGGCTAGGGAAAACCATGTTTTTTTAAATGTGTAGATTCATTAGCTTGGAACATCAGAACCACAAAAATATGAGGCCTTGGTCAACACTGGTGTGCAGTGCACGTTAATCCCATCGAGACATGTGGAGGAAGAATCTGTCTCTATTGCTGGCATGACAAGAAGATCACAAGATTTTACTTTAGTAGAAGCTGACGTAAGCCTGACTAGAAATAAGTAGAAGAAACACCCTATTGTGATTGGCCCAGAGGAGCCATGCATTTAATACCTCATTCAATCTCTAGCTCTGATTTTATGAGCCAGCTCTACCTCACAAAATTGCTTTCAGTAAAAGCCTATTTCAGCTGCAATGGAAAATCACAGAATCACACAGAATCACTAGGTTGGAAGAGACCTTCAAGATCATCAAGTCCAAACCATGCCCTAATACCACCTCAACTAAACCATGGCACTGAGTGCCACATCCAATCTTTTTTTAAACACATCCAGGGATGGTGACTCCACCACCTCCCCTGGCAGACGATTCCAGTACTTTACCACTCTTTCAGTAAAAAACTTTTTCCTAACATCCAGCCTAAATTTCCCTTGGTGCAGCTTAAGACTGTCCTCTCGTTGTCAGTTGTTGCCTGGAAAAAGAGACCTGACTACAACCACCTTTCAGATAGCTGTAGAGAGTGAAAAGGCTGAAGACAAAAATTTGTGAATAGTTAATGTACAGAAATGTGCAGCTGGAGCTGGCTCAAGGTTTCTCAGTGGTTGACAGCCTTTCATAGTAGTTAAGCATATGTCTTGACTCTACCTCCTCTTGGGATTTCTATCAGTTGAACACTGCTGGAACCAGGAGGGGAAGCTATACTTGTTCTTTTCTATATATTTTTTGTCTTTGTCTCTTTCTCCTTCTTCTTCTAATTCCTTCTTCTCAGAGTTCTGAATAACTTAAAATCCAATGGGTTTGGAGTTTGCTTAGTTGAATGGACTAAGTTAATGTTTTGTGAACTGTTTTATGCTAATTGAATGCTGCTTTAAACTTTTGCCAAAGTTCTCTGATTTTCTGATGCTGCCAGTAAAGTTTTTTGTTGCTGTTTTGGCCTTTTGAGGATATCTTGTCAGTATTTTTTCTGTGCATGAAAAACTGTAAGCCCTTTTAAGAGGCTCATCAAGTGAATTTTTGGGGCCTTACATTTGCTCCAAACCAGGTGCAGGCCCTTGCATTTGGCCTTGTTGAACTTCATGAGGTTTATATGGTCCCAGTTCTCGAGCTTGTCCAGGTCCCTCTGGATGGCATCCCATCCCTCACCACTCAGCTTTGTCATCTGCAAACTTGCTGAGGGTGCACTCCATCCCTTTGTCTATGTCATTAGTGAAGATATTAAATAGCACTGGTCCCAGTACAGCCCCTGAGGGACACCAGTTTTCACTGGTCTATATCTGGACATTGAGCTGTTCACCACTACCTTCTGGATGTAACCATCTAGCCAATTCCTCATCCAACAAATAAATGAGCCATCAAATCCATATATCTCCAATTTAGGGAGAAGGATGTTGTGGGGCACTGTCAAAAGCCTTACAGAACTTCAGATAGATGACATCTGTAGCTATTCTCTTGTCCACTGCTGTAGTCACTTCATCATAGAAGGCCACTGAGTTGGTCAGACAGGACTTGCCCTTGGTGAAGCTGTGCTGGCTGTCTCGAATCACGTCCCTGTCCTCCATGTGCCTTAGCATAGCTTCTCAGAGGTTCTGTTCCATGATCTTCCTGGGCATGGAACTGAGCCTGACAGGTTGGCAGCCATTGGATCCACATACTGCCCCTTTGGTCTGTCATAAAAGTGATTTTGCATTTCTGGAAGTGATAAGATCTATAATGAGCCAGGAGCCATTCACTCAGCTCCATTACTGGACCATCCTGGATGTACAGACTGATATGTGTACTGGTTCTGGCTGGAATAGAGTTAATTTTCTTCATAGCAGCTCAGATGGTGCTGTTTTGGATTTGTGACCAAAACAGTGCTGACAACATTTTAGTTATTTCTGAACAGTGCTTTTTCAGCATCATGGCCTATTCTGCTTCTCACACTGCCCTGCCAGTAAGTAGGCTGAGGTGGACAAGAATATGTGGGAAGGGTGAGGGGAGGGGGATGGGGGACATTCAGTGTTATGACAATTGTCTTCCCAAGTAACTGCTAACACATGATGGAACCCTGCTTTTCTGGAAATGGCTAAACATCTGCCCATCAATGGGAAGTAGTGAATGAATTTCTTATTTTGCTTTGCTTGTGTGCACAGCTTTTGCTTTACCTATTAAACTGTCTTTATTTCAACCACAACAATCTGGAATAATCCTCCTGCTATA